TTACAGCTCTAGCGTTCTTCATACAGCTCAATCGATATACGATCATTATTTTATGCATAATTCTACTATTATACTTTTGTTCTTGTATTTCTTACCTACTGCTGCATCCTGCTACATCCCTTCGCGCGCGACGCCCCTCTCACCGCGACGCGACCATTTCGTTCCTAACGCACCACACCCACGTTTTCGTGATCAAATTAACAATATGCATCCTGTGAATCGGTACCGTGTATTCTGGAACGAGTGGTATCGCAGATTATGCGCGTTTGGGAACGCAAAGCTCGAATCCTAAGTAAAGATCAGCAGATTATTATGATTATTATAATCAAATATTGAATATCAAGAACGTTGTCCAATTTCGACGATTCGATTATCCTTAGAGTTCACTAGAGGAATCCAATGCTGCGGCCAGAAATCGACCGGCAAAAATTCATCATCTCGCACTCCGGGACGGACGTATCTGAAACAAGTTTGCTATTCCTGTTTGATCAAACTCTAGGACCATAATCAAGCGTAGCCGTTCCGTTTTCACAACAAAATCAAGGCCGTCGATGATTCAAATATACCTGAAGATCTCCTAGAACTACATTTTCTCTTTTTCTGCACTTTTTGTTATTTCTTTCTCATCAAAGACCCAGTTTGCGAACAAAAAGGTCTAGGATTTTTTACTGGAACAAATCTTTGGCCCTCACACGGGCGATGTGTGACGTTGTCGCGTCGAGAAGCGGCTTAGGGCGCATTAACGTCTCAAAGATAGCTCTTTCTTTCGCCTTAACTTCTTATAACCTTGGAAACGAGCCAGTTTAGAGAGAATCATAAGATTCAAGATTTCTCCGTGTATTCTCCGTTTCTTCGCCGGTGGCACTCTACCTACTGCTATGTGTCAGTCATTTGGCTTTGTAGCGACTCATAAAATCCCTGAACAGTCTCTTACTAATCGCAGGGATTAATGAAATGGACAGGTTTTTGTTCGGTACATGGGTTAGTATTAGTATGAACTTTCCAGTACCGTATGACCATCATACGGTAGTGGTATCGCTCGTGATAAAGGACGATAAGTCATGATAATGGCACAGTTCTCGCGTTGTTGCACAATAATGAAACAGCTCTTACTTTTTATTGTAGTAAACTCTCTGTCCTCTGCTCAAAAATCCCAGCCACCATCCATAAGTTGATGTAGCTGCTGAAAACGAAGGTTAAATCAAACGAAAAGTAGCTCCATATTTTTATGGCTTATAGATGGGAACTGAAAAAAGGCTGTATATCATGTGTATGATCGATTATTATGCAATCCATGGCAGGATTTAATGCCTTAAAAATGCTCAAACATCTTCACTCTGCTTTGTTGCTCAACTCTAATTTCTTATGGAAAGCAGTCAATGTAAAACCTATACTCATTGTCAGTTAGTATTCGAAGAAAAACGAAAAGAAAGGGATGGTTGAGCACCTAGTGTGAAATTCTTTATACAATATATCAATCCTATGGTTTATCGGTTATGTGAGGGCGGAGGTGGTGTAGTGGCAAGTGGCGCACTGTATCGCACGCACGGTCGCGAGCTCGAATGCCCTGTCGATATCTGCCTAGGCTAACCAAGCCTTTCATCCCCCAGGGTCGGTTAATTGGTACCAGACTAGAATGAAAGCACTGACTTGTACATCGGCTGGCCACCGCAAATCATTGTATAGGCAACATACGCATTCAATCCGACAATACGATACTGATTGGAAGCCGAGTGCGGGGGCGCATTCCTCAGACTGGATGATTAACGCCGAAAGGCTTTATTCTTTATCCTCAGCAATTGTGTGATGTATCGATATACCGATTCCGGCCTACAGCCTTCTGCCCATTGCTATTATCGCCGACTTCTCGAGAGATATTGAAGGCTTGTTGGCTAGGGAGGTGATTAGTAAGCGATTTTCCGCCCACGGTTACTAATACGAGTGTGTTTAAGTTCTTTTGAGAAAAATCTATCACAGCTCCTGTTCGCGCGTTTGAGCTTGCAAAGATTCTTTTGAACATGCCTTTTTCTTGATATTTTCATGAATTGACCTCGAGGCTCCCGCATATACCATTTCTGGCACTATTAAGTCGGAAAACGGCCTAATTAGGGAGTTATAAAGGTTCAAAGATTGGCCTGCGTGTATCCTCGGACAGTTTCACCAGTATTGTAGAGGCTGTACCGATCACAAGGGAACCCATGTAGGATGTTCGAACAACTTGTCATGTCCCATGGCGACAGAGAAAGACAGTTCTGTACAGTTCTGGCTTGATGTAGTCAGCTCTTTGTGCAATTGCAGCAACTGAAATCTCGTCCGAATACCCCTTTCATGTTATTTTCCTCTTCAATCTCGTCCATCCTCTATTTTCCCTACTTTTCAGGTACCATATTCTTCCCGAAATCGGCGAATTCTCTCGCTTTCTTCACTACCGATGACTATTCCCAATCTATACTTACGCTTTTCTAATAAAAACGGGTACCTTAAAATTGTCGTGAACTGTGTCTCTAAGTAAATACAACATAAATGAAAGTAGACCTACCAGTGAGTAGTACTCGATCACAGTACTTTCTACTGAATTCCCATTCTGCGTTAGGTGGACTGCTTTCATGAACATTTGCTACCTCTGGTACGATACTGCTGATATTGAGTTGAGCGAATGGCTTCATTACTTTTTCGGTCGTCCATTCGGTATTATCGGTGAATAAGTAAATGTAAGGAATGCGACTGTCTTCGAGTCGAGCTGAAATTCTGTAGAACAATAGTTACTGGGAGCAATTAATTTTTCAAATATTTTTCCTTTTTTTGCGTCTTTTTATGATTTTTTTTTCACTTTTTTCATCAGTGATATCCAAAAAGTCCCGGATAATACTGCAGGACCTCTAATAAGTGAATGTCAAATAGAAAGGGTAGGCGGTAAATAAACAAATAAGTAGTAATCACCTCTCTCAATTATAAACAGTATCGCTGCTATTGTAAAGTGACTGTCCGAAGGAAGATGCATAGACGACCCGGCGAAATCGCCACGTCGAGTATGAACGCAAATGCTGAACAGGAATTCGTAGAAAGGAAGGCTTATGTCTATGTAATTTAGGGTAAAATATAGTACTAGAACTTACTTCAAACCTGTTCGATTGGGAAGGTGCTTTGGAAAAAGATTGTTTTCGGCGATAAACGCAGCACTTTCACTACCTTGTATTGCGTGGAGTAACTCAGAATGGCTCAGGTTCCATAGGTATTTGTAGGTCTAAAAAAGGATTCAGTCGATATTTCGAAAGAGGCCGACAGCTTTTACCAATTTTCGCTAAAGTCAGCTTTGGTTTTATCTCATCTCTGTTCCAAGTGAGGAAGAGGGTGTCTCAGCATCCAGATATGGTACAGACTCATATGAGTGGGAATGGCATTCATCCCATCCATTTCGGCCTTTTACTAATAACAGTACCCTTTACAGATGGATACTTCCTGATGTGCTTGCGCTCAATTTCTGCACTGATCCCACCTAAGGGCACCGCTACCTTTGAATGAGAAACTTTTTGCAACTTCTACCTAACTTTTCCAATTACCTGTAAATAACGCAGGCGTACACTTATCGAACGAATGCTGTTTCTTCCCTTCAACTTATCGATTATACGGGGATCATATCGGCAACAGTATTCGAGCGGTGTGTGAATGGGAACAGATTTTTCGCAGAATGCCTGAAACACAATGGTCTTCGCTATAGGCTAGCACTTGCAGTATATTCTTATGAGCTGGGCTATTGCAATGCTCCATGGTTTACTTACAGTTTGTTTAATATGGCTAGTGATATGTGGAAAGTATTCTGAGATCTCTTTCATACGTTTGACCATCATAGGATTGTTGATAACTGGTATTCTGAAATTGTAGTTCAGAAATTATTTCGAAATTGTATGGGTCCATAGTATATGGCGTTTTTGGGCCTAGCGAGGTGCCACCCCATGCCTTTTAAGCCCGATTTCAGTACGAATAGTAACAACTGCCCGATTACTACGTTTTCGAGATTTCTCTTGGAAATACCAATCCAATCTCAAGGTCTCTAGGATATCTCCTCAGTAACTCTTTATGTTTGGAAAATTAAACAAGTCAGCAGAATGCGAAAAGCGCCGAGCTGGGGCTGACAAATGTGAAAAAGATTCATCATTCTTTACACTTCATCTTACAGTACCCATTTAGTTTGGCTGCGCTTCTCAAAAGATGAAACTTGAGGAGGGGTTATCAAAAAAAAGTGAAAGAAATACTCTACTGTATTCCCTCCATTACGAATTGCTGCGGTACCTTCAAGTTTCACACTATATGGATCAATCGGAAGTGTCAAGAATTGCAAAACAAATAAAATAGAGTTAAATAAGTGAAAATATTGAATAAGAGATATTAGTAAAATATGAAATGTTAAAAGAAAGTCCTTCTATACATGATTCTCACCTGTTCAGTTGTTTTGCTATCGATATAAAGCCTAACAGCTCAAACATAACGTTTCCAATACCACCACTATTTTCGGTTGCATGCAAGGATCCAACTAGACATCGTTTTGCAGGTAGCCCATGGTCATCAAAGCTGAAACATAAAAAGATTAGATCAGTTTTCTTCTGAGCAGGATTCACTTTATAAATTACTGGTTACTTCGATGGCACATAGACTGCTTTCATAGTCCGCCAGCCGGCCGGCGTGCCACGAGGCAGTGCTAGGGGGGAGGAGGGCGGCAGACGGTCGGACAGCCCCTCGAAGGGCTGTAAACAAGGAGAGACAAGATCAAAAACCATTAGTACAAGCCCCTGGTTGTTTGGGTTCTTGACCTTGTTCTTCTTTGTTTTCAGCCCCTCGACCGACCGTCTGCCGCCCTCTTCCCCCCTAGCTTTGCCTCGTGGCACGCCAGCCGGCCGGCGGACTATGAATGCAGCCACAGAGGAATCTTCGTGACTTTTTTTCAGGAACCCAAATCTCACAGAAAGCACTCTTTGGCTTTCAGAGGGATTTCTGAATAACGTGTACATTGAATGAAAGCTTAAAGCTTCAAAAGGTTAAAGGCGATTAACGGAAGTGCAATTTATGAATTGTGCAAAGGAAGCGAAGTAAACGCGAAAATCGTCGTATTCAGAAAAATACAGAGCCTTAAGATTGTAGAAAATTTAGCGGTTCGAGGAGAACGTGACGTCACATTTTGCATGGAAAGGGTATTCGGACGAGCTGTCTACGTGTGTGCCACTGCGTACAGCTGGTACAGTAAGCCGCCTGCGTGCAATTTGTGGTGCGGTGCGAATGGTTTAACCATAGAAGCTTCTACAAAGCCGTGAAAACTCGTCCTTTTTGTATGTGGGTTACGCCGGTTACTCGTTCACGAAAACCTAGACATGTGAAAAGAAACTCAAGTGATATCTTCAGAAAGTACTCAAACGAACTTCCTATTCGTTCGTCTTTTTATTTAGTATTCTTTTTGCTCGGTTTAGGTGGGTTTCCTTAGAGACAAGTCTACTACTGCTGGAGTAGAAAGATATGGTACACTTTAATTCCTATTACTGGTTATAAACTTTCTAATGAAAATAATTAAAAACAAAATCTGAAACGACTTCTAGTCAATTCCGTTATGGCAATCGTACAAGAAGTAGGTTTCCTGTCTAAAACAGTATTGAAAATATCCCCACTTATCAAATTTCTCTGCAATGGGGATCTTTTGCGGTAAGCCTTGATCCCGCGGTCTTACGGAAAAAAGGAATATTTTTCAAAGCTTAAAGGCCACTAAAAGTACAGTACTATTGGTATTAAGTATTCTGCATAACATACTCAAGAGAAATAATTTGCAGAGCGATTAATAGGTAGATAGCTGATGTCGTTACCAGTACGAGGCTCCAGCGGCTCATGAAGCGCCTGAAAAATCGTTCCAAATTTATGATAGTTCAAATTGCCATCGATAAACTAACCATCTCATTATTTACCTGGGTGGGGTGATCCTCTTTGTGAAGATGCATGTTTATACGATGACGGGTGGATGGCGCGCCATCAAGATTACCTCTATGCGTAACCCCATTTCCAGTAGCAGAGCGGTTCCTATTCAATGGGACGAGAGACAACAGAATATGGTTCCCTTTTTCTGGAAAAATGGTAATCTTTTACACTTCCCTTTAAGACTAAGCAGAGTGCCAGCCGAGCCGGCTGGACGTTTTTATACTGAGAAACAAAGGAATGGTCTTTTTTGTCGCAGCCTAGGGAGAGAAGGAGAAACCCGGGTAGGTGAGATGCTGGTCTTGGACGAAAATTGAAATGGAAGAGACACTGATCATCAGGATACTGTCTGAGGGAGTGCAGCCAAGAGAAACGTACTGAAACGCGTGAAATCAACCCTTAGCTAAGCTCGGTTGCTATCCGCCATTCCCCTTCCCCTATGAAGTTCTCTTCGTGGGCCATGTGTGCAACCGTCCCATCCTCAAAACCAGGAACTCTCTCTTTCGCCCTCATTCATTCCAGCTATGAAGGGTTCCAGTGGTGCATGACTGCTCTGCACCTATGGTATCTTGAGAGATGTCTCATCTTAGTTAACTTCCTGCACGCTCTGTATAGGGCAGAGGGTGCGCAAGAAAAGAGGCGCCCGCACCAGTTGGGGTGCGGTCATGGTCACGAAAAAGTAATAAAATGAGCCTAAGCGATTTCAGTTATCCTTATGTGAGAGGTATTATTTCATTCGAGAAACACAATTCAAGGCTAATCACATTCCATTATAAAACAGCGTCTCTCTGGCGACGATATAGTCTAGGGGTGGAACCTTCAAGCTCGGTAGCTATATCGAACCAGGGGATAGCAACCGAGCTTGAACAAGGGGTAGCTAACATGGATATCAGCAGGCAAGATGGTAGATGAGTAACTGCTGTGCAAGGGGTAGCTCACTTGGATGATAGCAAGGCAAGATGGTAGATGAGCAACTGCTGTACAAGGGGTAGCTCACTTGGATGTCAGCAAGGCAAGATGGTAGATGAGTAACTGCTGTACAAGGGGTAGCTCACTTGGATGTCAGCAAGGCAAGATGGT